TTTTTAATTTGGCTTCACCTCTATGAATAGTACAGCTTTTCCTTAAGATTTGAACGAAATAATCCGTCCGTCTTCAGTATATTTTTCATTCTAGTAAATTCAAAGTATATATTTTTTGACTAAGTAAAAAATGAATAAAAAAGAACTAAGGAAAGCAGAATATAAGAAAAAAACAGAACAATTAAATTTTTTAATAGTAGTTGCCACTGTCTAAACAAAAAAAATTTAAGCAAATATTTCAAAATAACTGAACAACACTTAAAAGCACAAATAAACACTAACAAAAGAAATAAACACAACAGTAAAATATTTTATATATTTAAATAATAAACAAATTGCAATTCATTTATTTATAACTAAACAACTATTAATTGGAATATATAAAAAGAATTTTATATATTTTGATTAAACACTGACAACAAAGTTTGCATGTACGTGTATGTTTTTGGAATTAATTTATAAATGTAAAAGGAAAAAAAAAGAACAACAACAACTACAATTTTATAAAAATTATTATTATAAATACAATTATTTATTATATTGATATAAATATATTTAATGAAACTATTAATAATTTTATTGATATTACCATTATTAATATCATGATTATGAATATTTATTAAATATTATGGCATTATAACAAACAACTACAAACTAAAAAATAATGAACTATACAAATTATATATAAAAATATTATTGTAAAAACCAAAAATCATTGCTTTTTATTGTACGTTTTCTAACAATTTCTATATCGTTGCCGCTAATCTATATACTTTTTTTCATATTCGTACCCATATATAAATTTATTTTGATTTTCACTCTATTTTCTTTATTCTAGTTTCTTTATTGCTATAAACTTTGAGACATTTTTGTGGAACACATATAGTTGCATTATCGTTATTAGGATTTAAATGTTTTTGTATTAATTATATATAATTAAATTATATATAATTTCTTTGAAATATATTTATACCATTTTTCATGTTGCTTCTGCTCCAATCATTAGGATTATTACATACTCGTACATATATACAGTCCTTGGTGCTGATATCTACTAAACGATTTTTATCAATCGTTCACATAACCTTACTTTCTATCGTTACACAGTTATTTGTGGTATTTCTTAATTAGTTTTAAGTTGCAATGTCAAAAGTGTCGTTAGCTTTTCTATTTAAAACCATCATTTTGAGTTTTCTTTATAAACTTTTTATTTTATTTCATGTATATTATAATTTTTCTATTCTTCAGCGTAAATGTATTTAATTTAAACTATAAGTATATGCTTAAATTAATTTATAGCACTTTTTTTTCTTTTATAAAAGCTTTCTTTATTGAAAGCTCAAGAATGTTTGCTTGGAAACACAAACTTTTTACATAATTAAAGAATTTTATTTTCATATATTTCTATTAAAAAGTGCTTTTCTGTAGCACTACCCATTAAGTAAACGCTTTCTCTTTTCTATTGAATTCATGCTTTTAGAAGGTCATAATTATGAAGTAAAATTAAAGCTGCTTTTTCTTCTTTATTGTATTTTTTTTTTGTTTTTTTTTTTCATTTATCACAAATATACTATTTAGTATAATATTTTACTGTAGTGTGATTTGATGTTAGCAAATTTATGATAAATATTTTGTCGTGCTAATATTAAAAGCTTTTTATATGCACTAAGCATTGCATATATAATATAAAATAATATTAAGTGCATTCTATATATATATATATGAATTAGTGGGAACTTTTTGTTAGTTACGGATATTGTTAAACATTATGTGCATGTTTATTTTCGAAATAAAATACAAAATCCGTAGAAATAAATTTGGAAAAATTTTACGAACATTTCATGGCAATTATATTTTTGCTAATTTGCACAAATGATACTTTAGTTTCTTGCTGGAATTACTCTCTGATTTAAACTAATCCAATATTTTCTAATATCCTGATTATATGTGGATATAATCCCTTTCAACCGGCTTTTAATAATTTTTATTTAAAAATATCTATTCCTCCACTTTTTCTGTTGTTCTCTTACTTATTGTATTTTTTCTGTCTATGTACCAATTATATGCGTCTATCTTTCTCACCGTTCCTTACGTTTCGTTCTTTTTAATCACTACCACATTTCTTATATTAATCGACTTTAATTTTAACTTTCTTTTGAGTGTATAGGTCCACTCTTACCTTTATTTAATCTGTCGTATCAGAACATGCTATTATTTGTACTTTAATGGCTTTAATAATTCCCATTTGTATATCCCCACTACATGTTTTTTTGCCACTTTTCTCGCTAACATTTCCTTTAATGCATTGACCAACCAGCCATTAAAAGAAAGCATTAAGCTATTTTTAAAAATGTTAGCTTTCCCAATTAATGTTAATAGTTTCGCTAAATATAAATAATTCATTTCCATAAATGTTTTTTTAACAGTTTCCAAACAATTAGTTGGAAATGTTTAAAATATCACGTCACTCACTCATTAAAGTGAGTATAATATAATAAGGAGAAATATATGCAGAGCTTTCGGGAGCTTTCTTGCAGATTATGAAAAAGCTTATGTTTTTTTTTTAAAATATATAGATCACATTGCAATATTTTTATTTACGTTAAGGTATAACAAGAGCAAACCAAATAAAAAATTTTATTTACTTTAGTCTTTTGAACTCAATATTCTAAATCAAAAACTATGCAAAATGCTCAAAACAAAATTTGAAGCTTTTATATCTAGAACAAACAAAAATGCAATGTGATGTATATTTTTTTCTTTTTTTCTCTTTAACGTCTTTATTAATTAAAAAAAATTCCTTAAAATCTTCCACTCCTCACTTAAGAATTCAACAATTAAAATTTTCCGTAAAATAAACTTAATTAGGGGTCACTCATTTTCCACTCAAAATGAGTGACTCGATGTGCAATGCTTTTGAATTCATTTTATAATTTTATAAGATCAAATATAAGAAAATATATTATTTTAAAAAACCAACACACTACAGTAAAATATTTAATGTACTATGTCAGCATCTCACTGTAGGGCTTTTTCTGTGAATGATCTATTCTCTCCCAACCCAACTGAACTTTATGTATCTCTTTGTATTTCCTTGTATTGTTTAAAATCTTCTACAATTTTTCACCGTAAATTATTGTGTACTCTAATGGGAAGCTATACGTAATTGATATATCGTTGGTTTAAGTAAATTTATTTTGGATTTTACAGCATGTGAAGTATGAAATTTGCTTAAAACTCAAGAGATATTTTGAGTGGTATTTAACGTAACCAGTTTATTAAGAAATGCCAAATTTGTGACTGGCATTTAAGTAAAATTTATTAATTTTATTAAACAATCATTAATTTTAAAATTTTTATTTGTGAAAGCTTTTTAATAAGAGGCATGGTTTGAAAAGCACTACAAGGTAAGCTGCACCACTGTGTGAAGTGTTATGCTGGAATATAAAAAGTAAGCTTATCGATTGGGTTGAACTGAAACATTTTTTGTTATTTACATATTATTTACATAATTATTTAAAATTTAATTTTAAATTAATGCTTCCTAGTAATGAATGTTTTAATAATAATTTGGATAAAGAATTTGAGCATAAATTATGAAAGTTACTCAACGAAAGCTTCAAGTGTACTAAGCTTTTAATTATTTTCAATTTTCTTAATATTTTCGACAAATTTCATATAACAATTTTTTTGACTTAGGTATTTACAATAGTTTGTTAATATTATTAATGTTTAATTATTATAAATCTAATGACTATATAATTTTGAGATAAATTAATAATATAAATGAATATAATAATTAATATCATACTAACTGCGGTGGTGAATATTATTTATTGTGAAAAAATATCATTCAATCAGATTAGATTAATAAATACTTAATAAGGACACGAAATAATTAATTAATAAATATAACAGCTTTTAAGATTAAAGCTTTGACTCTTTATTGCAACTTAATTGCGCTCACTAAAGAATCATTTTAATGAATCTTTGAAGCTCTTTTTCAAAGCTAGCCAAAATTATGTCACATAATTTTTAAAAATTGTCCAATTTGTTAAGGTATGCAGATTAATAGAGCTGACTGGCTAAAAATTTTAGCCATTTCAGCCATTTCAGAACTTGTTAAGGTATGTAGGTTAATAGGTCTGACTGGCTAAGACTACGCATAGGCCTAATAGATCCATAGGAATACGTAATAAGAAGCTTTAAAAGTTGTATTTCGTGTGTTATTAGCAAATTTTAAGAGATAATTTACTTGAATATTAGGGAATACGTTCAGCTGCTTAAAAACAGTAACTTCAAGTTAAATAGATTTTTTGAGACAACCTGAAAATGATGAAAGATGTGTTCCAGAGTGTTTAAGTTCAATTTCGGTTTGTCGAATATTTATTAAATATTTTTTTAAAAATTTATTTTTGCACACAATATGTAAATTGAATTTTAATGATCTGTAAATATTCTAATGCATTAACTTTTTGAAGAACTGGCTTCTCTTAAGTGAGAAATTGTACAGAGTCCTTTAAAGAAGATCAAATCTTATCAAATTCTTTATCTAAATTGTTTACCATTTATATATAAGCATTTTTATGTGAACATTTTATTAACCAATATATCATTTTTTCTTTTTTTGTATCTCCAGGTACGCTTCTACTATATACATAAAAAAATAAATATATTTATACATTTAATTCAGTAAAAAAATCTAAATACTTATGTACTTGAACTAATAATAAATGTTTTTGACTGTATATATATATATATAAATATAACTATATCTTATGTTTTCAATTAAATCAAAATAATTTATCAATTTTCTTTTAAATAATTTTCAATGTAAAGCGCTTGAGAAAAAATTTGAACAAAAAAATACTCGTTAAACTCATACTAGTAAAGCTTAGAAGACGGAAGCTTTTTTACAACTAGTTTCATATAGTAAAAAAAACGCTTTTTATTATTATTATAATTATAAATTTTTGTTTAAAATTAAAGATTTATTTTGATAAGTAGTGCACCAATGAGAATTCGTATGCGCACACTGCCACATGGAAATTGATAAACACCAAACCAAAAACACTTTACACACACTTATATGAATCGATATTTACGCTGTAGTATTTAAACAACTTAAAACTCCTAAAAACAAAAAAAAAAAATATACGTAATAAATAAAAAAGCTTTCTTTGTGGATGTTGGATTTTGTCAAGTACTGTACTGTAATTAACGCATGGCTGGATTGTACTGTTGCGGCAACTGTTTTTTGGTAATGATGGTGATTATGATGACATTTGCTGATACAACATATAATTTTTATTTATTTTTATTCCATAAATAAGCTATACTATATTTCTTATATCAAAAACAAACTATCGTTCAAAGCTTACTAGACTTGATTTTTATTTTTTTAAAGCTATAATATAAACTAGCTGCTTTATACACACACTACTATCTATGTATGAGTATTTCAAAAATACTTTTCACAAGCACATACCACGTTTAGTGCTGTTAAATAACACTTTTTCACACACAACAATATATTCCCCACTTCCATACAAAAACTTATGTGTTGTTAGCGTAAAAATATAAATCTTTGGATTTGAACTAGTTTTATTATAGATTTTTTCATAATTATACAAAAATAATTCTCAAATACAATTTATTTATGTATTTATGTATAAATTTTGTATAAAACTACTACTTTTTTCTTTAATCTACTACTTTTTACAGGCTTGTATGTAGTAAGTATTGTTTCTCATTGTACTTTTAACATATTTACTGTTATGTTTCATTTTTATATTAAAAAATGCTTTCAATTTATATAAGTGTGAACGCCCTACATTTAACAAAACATTCTAACCTTAATTTATTAATTTTTTACAGCTCTGCCAGTTATAAATTAATAAGCCAAGCTTCAGATGCGCAACGCTGCTTTTAAATAATTTTTGGTTCAATTTTTTTTTTTTGCATTAATATATTTATTTGCTATTATTATTTATAAAATATAAGTTGCTTTGCTAATTAAATTATTATCTAAACTCTAATATAAAAATTAGATTATTTAAATTTTTTTTACTTTGATTATGTCTTATTCTTAACGAAATTAAGTTAATATTTTTATTAATATTTAAATAATTGTTAGTTAACTCCGTCCTAATTCCTTATAATATTTAGTGATCTATATGTCTTATGTATGTTAATGTTTTTTTTTTTAATTGTAATTTTTACTAAAAGTTATGCCAAATTGTTCTCTAAAAATAATAATAATAAAATATTATTTTTTTTTTGACAAAAGTTTAATTCACTAAAGAATTGCATTCAAAATTTTATTGGGATTCGATTTTGAATTTCAAAATAAATAAATATAATTCAATTTTTACTAATTTCATTCGAGTAAATTAAGTATGTATTAAAACCCAGTTTTAAAATGTACTTGTACTTTGAAATTTTTCAATCTTTAAAGTTTATTATACATATTATTAATTACTGATGAGAAGTTTTATCAGTATTATAAAATTTAATCTTTTTTAATATTAAATATTTAGAGTTTTTCCTTATAGACAGATATTACAATAAGAGAAATTTATAAAATACTAAATGATAGAGGCTAATATATTTATTTATAATTGATGTGCATTATATACTTATAATTTGCAATATATATAAAAGTTTTTTTTTCAAATCATAATCTAACATTAGTCAAAAAAATAATATATATAAATTCGAATACATACATATATAATGAATTAAACTATATACACATGTATATATTTCAATATATTAAGTGTATAAAATATTTTCAATCATTTTAATAATACATAATATATTATTCATTCAAGGGCTGTGTTAAAAATGTTTACTTACATTTTATCTGAGTCTCTCATAATACTGGAATTAGTTACACTTATGTTGATCCGTATTAGGGATCAAGTCAAATATTAAGAATATTTGAAGCTCCATCTCCTTCAAATTTTTTAATTATAAAGTCCAAAAGTATTTTATTAATCGTGTTCTTGATAATATAGAACATAAAAAATACAGATTATTTATAAGCTTTAAGCTTTGACAAAGCTTAAAGTGCTGCTTGAAGACAGGTCGTAGAGCTGACCAATATCCTCAAAAAAATTAGCACTACTGCAACGATAATAATTAAATGTGAGTTTCAGTCTTCAAGCAGGGTTCCTAATCGATTGTAACCCACTACATGAATAATATCTGTACGGAGCATCTCAATAGATTTTTCTTAATAGAACACGGTTAATTTTTTGAGTTTATTATATTTAACACAAAAAATTATCGTCACATATCTTACGTCTGGAAAATATGTCGCCTATATATCCTAAATATCGCTAATTCGAAAAAACTATTGAAAATTGGTTTTAAAATCAAAGTGTATATGTGCCTCGCATCGAAAAAAAACACCAGCTATGCAACCTTTAGTAAGTTTTTGCTTAAAACGATTTTATCGGGATGATCATTTCGGCACAGCTAAAGCTAATTTAGTTGCTTTTGTCTTGAAATAGTTTTAATTTTTATGATATTCTTATATCTATACAATAAAAAGTATATATATATGTAATGAATAGTATTCAGGTATATATGTATTTGCAACACATAATATATATATATATACATATTACATGAATATTTTATATACACATAATATATATATGTAAAGAATAGCGTATATATTTATTCATGTATGTATATGTATATAAATACATATATGTATGTATAAATATAACTAATATATATATGTGCTAACAGAATATATGTCAACTTAATAATATATCTGTGCAATTTAAGTTTATATAAAAACTAATATAATATATTTTCTATATCCAAAAATGCAATTTATTTATATAGTGTATAAACTTAAATTTTTTTTTTTAATATTTATATTACTTTTTTTCGTATTTATGTAACAATTCACACATAATAAATATTAATTGTAAAATGCTTTCGCTTTAAGCTTAATTTAAACCCTAAACCCTAAAATAATACAAATAAAGCCTACATAATTCGTGCTTATTTAAATACTTGTACTTAATTAACTTAATATTTGCTTTAATTAAATATGTATAAAAAAAAAATAGTGCAATTATTTTTAAAGCTTAATTACTAAATTTTATGGACTTACGGCCAATGGTGTGCCCAACTTGTTTGTTGCCATTTAACCCGAGAGGCAAAGCAAAGAGCCAAGGGCCAAGTTGACATGGTAAAATTTTTGTGGGCGAGTTTATCATTTTTTATTTTAACTCTCATCACAAACCAAATTACTATGTAAATAGGAGCATACTTTTCAGTGTTTCAAACTGGTTTTCGGGTGTTGTTTTACAACACGTTTTTTGGTAGAAAAGTTTAAAACAAAAATTGTAAATATTTTTGCAGAATTTAGTTAACTTGTTGCGAGTTAAATTTTTTTTAGCAAAAAATTATTTTAAATTTTATTAAACTGCAAAATTTAATAAAAGCGTAATTATTTAACAGAACAAATGAACTAAAACGAAGCAACTATTTACATAAAATTTTATTTTTCAAAATCACTTAAAATAATTGCATTAATTTTTAACTAAATCTATTTATGATAACAAATATGCGTTATAACTTACAATTTCAGCTTTATAGTATTTAAATAATATAAAAAATTATTTTCTTCTTTTTTCATGCTTACATTATAAACAACATATATTACTTTAAATATTTAAACATACTGGAAAATGGGCATAAACCAAATGCACCAAACACACTGCATGCTGCAATATATAAACAAATTTTAATTATTTACAACAAAATATCCAACAAATCAAAATCTAAAACCATTTACGTTAATAACACAAAATAACTTTTCAATACAACATATATACATAAATATATTTATATTTACATTTTTTTATATGTATTAATATTTTATCTACTTGAAAAATCATATTTCATTAATACAACAATAATGGAAAATTTTAATACTGCTGCTTATATATTCTCAACAAAAAATCACAAATCTAAATTATAATGAACTAAAACAATGCGAATTCACTGCAAACGCTACTGCATGGATTTTAATTTATTTCCATAATAAACACCATAAATTTTATATACTTTATTTTAAACAAATTTTTTTTACAATTACTATTGGCTCACAAAATAACAAAAACTAATAATGCCTTATAATCGCCCTTATTTATTTTTGAAACATATAAAACAATATGAAACCTTAAATACCATTTTACGTGATTTGTGCGAAAATGCGAAAATTTTAAATTATATCCGATATTATTTTGTAATTTAATAGCCAACAACAAAATACCATTAAATGCTTCTTATGTTATTTACACCGACTCCAATGGCCAGGTATCGTTCGGTGTTATTCATTTGCAAAATTTCCATATTAATTTTGACTTTTCTATTTTATCAAACCTTTTTGCAAAAATTAAATCAAATTCAATAATGAAAAGCTTAGAAGCTTTCCACAATACTTAGGCTTAAAATAGCTCTAATTTAGTTTGTAATCGTTAAACAAAAAAACAGAGAAAGCAGCAGGTTTAGGTTTTATCAGAGAATTAATGTTAGCTTAGAGATATAAAAGAGAAAATGTGGACAAAAGAATTTATGGGAAGTCCTGCATATCATCAATTTAATACTCTACATTGCCTAAATTACGATAAAAAATACAAAATATAGTAGTTAATGGTTAAAGCAATTTTAGTTCCATTCTATTTTCCTTCCAATCTTTCTGCTCACATTCTTTTCCCTCCCTGTAACTTATGCACAACAGACGATTTAAGCACGGTCGTTTGCGACAATAGATGAAAATGTCAAGAATGCTGTTCAGTCAATGCACTTCGGTATCATTTCAATTATCGGTAATTAATTAAATTGACCAAGAGTCGCTAAGTACCTCATGGAGTAATGTTCAACAACAAGGAGAGACGCTACCGTCTGTTGTTTAATCATGCCCCGGATATTATCTTTACTTTCGGTCTCTTGTATATATATTCATATACAAATTTTTCCACTAATATACTTTTTTTTTGCTCACTTTCCTACTTAACTTATCAATACTTACATTTCTATTCACTTTTCCTGACATATTTAATAGCGTTTATTTATATATATATATATATATATTATATTTATATATGTATTTATATTTATAAATATTTATATATTTTTATATAAATATTTATTTATATTTATAATATTTATATATATAATTTTTTCCTACCACTATTTTTATAACACCACCTCTTCTATTGCTACCTTGTC